CATTACCCCACAAGATGAAGCAAGATACTATAACCTCCAAGATAGAAATATGTTTGAAGCTGAGAAAGGTATGTGTCAACATAACAGAGTACGTGTGAAGACTGTAAACCATCTAGCGACGTAGTGCGAAAAAATGTTACATTACGAACAGTTATAAAGATAAATGCAGATCGACTGGACATTCTGATATACGATAAGAAGCGACGTGAATCCTGATAGAGGTTGGCATCACTAGTCAGGACAGGTTGACAGTAATCGAAGCTATAAAAAGCAAAAATAAGACCTACTTGCAAATAAGTTTGGGCCAGAGATGAAATGCAGGACCAATATAATTCCGTTTGTAATGACTTGGGATAGGATTGTAACGAACTTCCACAAACGCTATGCTAAGGAGATCAGTATATCTGACCACGTCGAGGTATACATTCAATCGACAGTTCTCAAAATGCTCGAAAGCATTTCGTTTGACAGTCGATATGGATTCCACAAGGCCAAAGTGAGAACGATGAGCACAACAAATCTGAGCGCGGGACAAGTACTGCCAGAATGCCGCAATGCGATCCATTACCAGAACCAATAAAGCGAAAACAAAAACTAACTTCCACATTTTTTTCTTTCTATTACTGTTTAAGTATTTTTTGTAGTCAGTAATTTGAATTTTCTAGACAAACTGAAAAAGATGACGATAACCAAAAGTCCTTAGGTCTATCAACATTGTCGTGATTATTGTTAATTACTCTGTTTGGTGTGATGTGCTTATTGTAATGAGTGCTTCCATTTGAGATCGTTGTACTAATTAATGATTTACATAATTTTTTGGAATAGAAACGTGGAATGACGAATAAAATACAAGCTATGGCATCAATACAATTTGGTAGATATTTTATATTATGATTATCTCATTAACATATGAAATGAACGCTTCGTGACGTGAATTCATATCACGTTACTAATAATATTATTGCTTATTGTTTCTATCATTCATCAGATTAGCTTTTGACGTAAAATCTCGGAAGACCATTTTAGGACACGCGTTCTCGTTCACAGTTAAAAAATCTAATCATGCATTTCTCACATTCTACAATCTGTGCTTTTCTTTGCTAGTGTCTTCTTTAATTGTGCAAAATATCGCTCTCTTGTCGTAAATTGCTAAGACGCAAATTTGCCAAAATTTCCAGAAAATTTACCGAAATTCGAAAATTTATCTCCAGTTTCATTCATGAGCATGGACCCTGCACGACTGTAGCAGAATTCTCATCAGATAATTTATTGAATAAAATGCAATAAAACTTGTAAAATTATGACTGAACTTTTTATAAGCCTAACAGACAGCTTGAAATTAAAGTTAATCAAATTTTGGATGTGAATTTTAAAAGAGTCCAAAATACGACTTTAATATTCATTTTTTTACTCTAATAAAAGAAGGAGAAAGTACTAATAATTATTCAAAACTTTCCAGATTAGTACTTGGTTGAAAACAGATGAGTACCTCGCTTTAACAACATTTTCCCATTGTTTTTGAGAGACAGAATAGCACAGTCAACCTCGATTAGTCGTTATTTGTTATACTTTTAATTTTTATTTACTTTATATGATAAATAATTAGAATTACACTTATCACATATAGCACCTGATGTCCATAAATATCGTTACATTTGTTAACATATGACAAAAGCCAGGTACATGACTACTTTCCAAACTGTTGTGTTAAGGATAAATGAGGAGTGCTAATATGTAAATGTGGATGTAGCTGCTACTAACTGCTACTTACTACTGCTTTAACTAACTAATAGCACTAAAAATAGAAATACTATCATTACTTCTACTACAGCTACTCATTGCAGCTGATTCTACCACTACTATTATTATGACTTAACATAATTGTTAACTACTACTGCTAACTGCTAGTACTCAGCATTAATACTTATCGCTACTATTACTAATACTTCGGCTGATGTAACTCATTTAGCCCAGCAGAACCTCCACCACATAGCCCCTGAACGAGTAATGGTTCTTTTTCTTAGGAATAGAAATGAAACTTGTGATGTCTGTTTCAAATTAGACTTGAATTGCATGGTTAAATTTTTTAACGAACAATCTTAACCCTTAGCAACATTACATCTTTCCTCTCTTTGCAGAAACTGCAATGATTCAAGTTCATTCAAAAAAATGACACTGAAATTAAAAAAAACACAACATCCAGTTCAGTTTGCACAAACACTACTGACATTTGCTGAGGCAAGCAAAGACAAGGGTACCGCTTAAGAATCAAAATGCCTTTCGCTCTTTCATTAACTTAATACACAAATTCAACGGAGTGAAAGCAGACTAGACAAAACCATAAAACAAACAGCAGCAGATACGACACTATCATTGAAAAAGGTAACGCTATCAAAATTCAGTGGTACGAAAAAAAGCATCTACTTAGCTAGCAAAAATTTACGTGTTATGGAAGACTAAAACTGCTCAATAAATCTGCTTTGTAAAATAGCAAAAAAGAATTACCGTTAACTTGAACATTATTTTTTTACAAAGAATTGACGTGTTGATGTGTGCCATAACTAAACGTAAATGGCAGAGATACAAAGAAAAATAAGTTTGAAACCCACTCAAAATAGACATAACAAACATAAAAATAATATAAATCTAGAATTTTGGCAACATCATAGCCCAGATGAGTCCTGGTGGTCCAGGGTACAGGCTTCAAACCTGTAGCCGCTTAGCGGCGGAGTAGTTCGATTCTACCTTCTGGGTGTACAGGTTACTAGCATGCATACTCGACGTCAGTGTACATATTCAACATTAATTGCGAATAGCTGTCCTTTTGCTCAAGTTCGATGCATGCAAATAGGCGTAATGTAGATTATGCAGAGGGTCTGGAACATTAAGTGACAAGCGTGATCGGAAACACGTGAATATCCTTAGCGAACGTGACGGGTATCCAAATATTCGTGCAATAGTAACAATTTTAATGAGCTTTTTTCACTACTATCTGCAGTATGCCGTTACTAGATATCCTGACAACTTCCGAAGTGTTATTCTCAATGTATCAGTAGCCTTACAAATTCAACAACACAGGATTCATTCCCAAGCGATACAAAATAAGATTCCTCCCAAGCGAAAAAGTAATCAGAACTTAGAAGTAAAAGTAATTTACATCTCATTTACACCTCGGCTGATGTCTCCTAGACTTGCAAGGATTTTTCACAAATATTCAGCAGATAATTACTTTAATTTGAAACCTGAACAGTAGTTACACAGTAATACAGTACCTTTCTTCCTTGTGCCTCTGCATATTCCCATTCGTTGTTACATTTAAAAAATTTTGAACTCGGAATTACCACAACTTCAAAATGTGCGCATATAACTTGCCCTTATATTAGAAAATATGTTTATAGACATAAGGTCCAGAACTTGAAAAAATTGAAACCATGACAAATTAGAACCAATTTTACAAGAGCAGAAACAATTTTGGAGTGATAAAAGATAATAGCATTAAAAAAACTACACAGAAATAAATGCACTCAGTGCAAAAGGCATATCTTCATGAAAAATACGTAGATAACAAGCGAGAGTAATGAAAAAGAAAATGTCGAAGATTTTGGTCGTTATGAGCTTTAGGATCCTAGCGGAGACGCAGCTTCAAGCGAGAAACGCATTTTCTAATTGCAAAATCGAATCGAGAAAAATGATCAACACTTCGCTTCAAGCAGTAAAAATATAATTCATCTTTCTCGCTTCCAAATAATCGATATATATATGTTTTTATTGCCCACCTAATTTCTGTAAACAAGAAATACAATATAACTTGATGTAAAATAAAAGGCAGCAAACTATATCCACAATAATTTTAAGTTTAGTTGAATACTTCATTTACATAATACAACAGTAGCAGATGAAAGAAAAATAAAAGTGCGATACAGAGCATAATGAAAGAGCATTGAAGAAAAGCAATAATTATTATTCTGCTTTTCTTGAAGTAATAGGAGGAGGTGTATAATTTACAGACGGTGGTGTGAACATCCGTTCAGTTAAGTACCCAGCAATACCTGTTGGTGTACCTATAATTCAAATTTAATTTTCACATACTTTTTCATTCTACCATACAAAAATACATAAGAAAATTGATAAGAATATCCAGATATTTTGAGGAAAAGTATTAGTGAAATCTCAACCTGTAATGGCGTGAACATTATTTGCAGCAATGAACAAGTCATGTCGTTGATCCTTGTATTGTGTCCATGTTGATGATTTGCTTAACATTTCAGATATTTTGGCACCATACTGCAAATCTAAAGAAACATTTTTTAAAGCATCCACTATTTCTGCGCTTGCTGCTGCAACATTGGTGACACCTAAAAAGAAAATGGAGTCAACAGAAGAATTTATTTATTTTTCTGCGAAAACACAAGTGATTCAACCATCCAATCATTTTTTTAAAGGAATAAATGACGCATTAAAATAATCCAAGTATTTTGAAAAGCGAATAACTTTCAAAATAATGTTAAAAGCTTAACAAGTTATTAATCACCGATACTAACCTTCCATTTTACCACCCAGCAATTCTAACAAATAATCCACCATACCAGTTGAAAGCATTTGAGCAGCAAGATCACTGCAGTTCCGTTTTAGCAAACACTTCAGGGCATGAGCTGAATCCCTAATCAAGACTGAAATATTTTTTGACAAATAACTTCACTATTTGATTTCCCAAATATGGTAACTTTATCGAGTTCAGTAGAATGCTTCGATCCTATCTGATCTTTCAAAGCATTAGAAAATCACTCTAATACAATGTTGAGTACTAATTATGAAATATTACTAAAAAATTACTGTACATTACAACTCTCGATTTTCAAAAAATTAAATTCACTATTGCGTTAACAATCGCTACATATAGCAGCATTGAATATGTCATAGTAATCAAAAATCGCATAATGGTAGATGAAACTGCAAAAAACTTTTAAATATATTGGCATAGGAAATAAAATTTTAGAGTGTATTTTTGAAACGTACATGGTTGTTGTTTCATCGATTTCATGATGCCTTCTATGCAATTCAATTTAGTGAGTGAATCAGCACAATACTGCAAACATAAATTAACAAATTTTATGAGATGATGCTGAACAGAAAAAATTACAGCTGAGTTTCAGTAAATGATTTCTGTCTTTGTAGGTGTTAACTAATGAATGAATGATTAATTTTTTTAGAGCGAAGAGAATAATTAAGCTTCAAAACTGAACGAAGAATGGTTAGAGAAAATAACAACTAATTAGTTAGATTTACAAAAAAAACAAACTGTATTTTCAGCAAGATGAGAAAGAATCAAAATAGCTGAACGAGAAGCATGACCACTGGATGAGGACATTAATGCACAAAAATGGGGTAAGTAACCTTGAGCAGGTAGCTGAAAAGTAACATTAACCTTCCAAACGGACTGAAAAAGGCAAAAAGTCGAGTCAATCAAGCCTGAAAAAATACTTTCCTCTTTGATCAATGACGGAACAATGCCATCATGGGATATTACTGCATTAAATCATAAATACTCACGTGACTAGCGACAGTTGGATGATTGGAGAGCAAAGCAACAAAGGCAGCAGTGACGGTATCCAGTTGAGGGGTTGGTCGTTCCATACATTCCAGAACCTTCTCAATCAATTCAGTAGTGAACTGCTTAGGATGACGTACTTGCCACGACGGATTTGCGATAAAAAGCCGCAAAAACACTCCAGCCACAACCAATTCATTGTTCAGTACGTTAGAATATGCACACTCTTCATTTATATCCTTAAGAATTTTGTAATTAAATCTTTAAATGTCAAAAAATCACCAAATAAGAAAAAGATCTGCCTGAATGCTCATAGAGTAATGCTTTTCATTTTTGTTTATTTCTGGATTTACAATCAGGTTTTAGATATAAAGTTAAAACCTTGATTACAATTTTTTTCTAAATCTAACAGCTAGTAAAAAAATATTTTGATAGCATATAACACAAATTATTCGCACTTTTTCCAGTTTCTTTCACTGTAACTATACCTTCTATAATACGATGACGAGTCATAAAATTTTTTAAAGTCAATTTTTTAACACGCAAAAACGAAAAGCATAATAAATAGTAAAAGTTACAGTTTTCCATTTGGTATTTGGATTTTTCATTTGCAATAAATGAAGCTCTTTTAATTGACATGCAACAACATTTTTCACATTCGAACGAATGTGGTCATTCCAAATTAGTTCTGGATTTTCATGAACTGAATCAAACATTGACAAACTGCAATCAGTATCTTGTTAGTGATTTCAATGGGGTAAAGTATTTGAATAAATTAAGAATCTACTAGGATATTACGATAAAATAAGAAAACTACTTTTTATTAAGTCCAAAAATTTCACTAGTTAATAAATCGCCAAACTTCAAAATAAAACTTAAAATAAATTACTATACATAATTGTTTTAAAACAAAACATCATTTACGCTGTTTGTGGTGAATCTCTCAAAGCATCGGTAAAAATCGGCGGTAGAAAGCGTACGATAAACCTTGACCAGCGTGGCCCTGTTAATTTATCTGCCTGCATTTTTGCCAACAATTCCGCTGCCAAAATTCGCGTTTCCGAACTATATTGCTCATCGAAAAACACAATTAAAATATACAAGAGTCCACCTAAATTAACAAATTTCTTTGCAACGTGATAATATATTTACACAAAATATTTGTTGAATGCAGCAGAAATTTCAAGTTTTCAAATCGGTTTCATGTTTTTACACCACTGTACATCTAGTTCTTCTAAACTGAACTCAATACAGTTTTGAGTTTTTGTATATATTCAAATTTATTTTTTTATAAATATATAATTTGGAAAACAATAAAAATCGAAATGATTAGTAGAACTGAAGTCTTTTTCCACAAAATTAGCAGTGTTCTCGAAAGGATTGATTCGGAAGTTTTTTTTTAGTTTTTGCTTTCTTATTCATACAAAAGATTATGAAAGTGAAATGAAATGGAAAACTGGTATAAATATGTTTCACTATATAAAAAGAATTTAAGATGTCAAAATATAGGACGAAGCAGTTCAAGAAAATCTTCTTTCTAAAAATATTGAAGAAATTCATTCTTTAAAGTTAAAATTAAAACCGTAATCCAACGATTCTTTTACAACTGTCGCATTTGAGGCCAATGTAATCATAGTAGAAAGAACAATTGGAGTGACTAAAAATCATTTTTTTCGAAGTAATATCATGAATTTAGAATTTGACATAATCTAAAAATGTCTTTTCAAACCAAAAAATACAACCCAAAACATATATATATATATATATATATATATATATATATATATA